TTGTCTGTAGTAGGAGACCAACCAGACAACACGTGCTTTGTAGGACTTCTAAGAGTCAGAATAAACCAACACAGAGGGGGGTAAGAGGTGAGAATCAGATCTGATCCAGGTCAAACAGGTAAAAATGACAGTACAAATCAGAAAGTGAAGCACCTTAGAAATAAAAGGGATTTAAAAAAAAAAAGCCTAAAGCCCCAAAAAACACCGTCGGCTCTGCAGAGCTCCAGGAAGACTGTGAGAAAGAAACAGGACCCACTCAAGAAGCTGCTTAAAAAGGAATGTGACAAGAAGGAGGAAAAGCAAGAAAGGCAGGGCAAGGAAGGGCTCAGGAAAGCCTTCGCCATCAGTCCCACAATCTAACATTCAAGAACGATGACAGAATACAGGTGATGGATTTTAGCCAGGAAAATGTCACCAAAATGTCACAAGAATAACTCTGATGAAAGGAAAAAAGCCCAGCTAGCAGAAAGGAGAAGGTATAAAGGAATTACAAGAGTACTGCAGGGAAAGCCTGAGACACACTGCAATGGTTAGAAAGCGAAGGAAAGGCATTAGCTGGATTAACATTGCCTGCTTTATTTTTTTAATTAAAAAGTACCCTTATTCAACGTATTAGTAGAACATAAGAAATGCTGTGCAGCTCCCACCCATTCCTGCAGGGCCTGTCTGAGTTCAACTCATTCCAAGATGAAAGCCAGTATTAAAATTGTACCAGAGACTTAAACATCTTCATTAAAATAGATAACTAAAATTCTGTATAGCCAACTTTGAAACATTCAGTGAGCAAGTCTAAACAAAATTCAGCATAAAACATGTTTTTGCACATACTCTCTTTGAACATAAAAAAAAAATACAATCGGGGAGAACAGATCAAGGCTAAGGATCTGAAATATTTTTACATGAAAGATAAAGTTGCAGAAGATAATATAGGTCAGACTGATGCCTATCCACTACCCTAATATATAGATGTATTTTTAAAGTCAAGCGCCATTTTACGTCAGTTACATGTGATATTGACACAGCATTGACATCTCTGAGGACTGATTACATGATAGCAGGATTGAATCAAAGAGGACCTAGCATGACTGCCAAAACACTGCCTTCCAGAAGTCCAAACCCAACATTTTTCCCCTTTCCAAAAATATAACTACAGTTTGAGACATAATGACTATATTACAAAGTGAACACAAGTTTGGCATACATCACTGTACATTTCTAGCATATTTGGAGAGAGACACATAAAAAGCACACTAATTTCATTTTATCCATGTGTACTATTTATGTGTGTTTAAGTTGCCTTCATGTGTTAATTGTAACTTTACCTAATAAAGCACCTTCTTCACATAAATTAAAAATATTCATGCTCCAAAGCATAAATTAAAATTCACTTCCAAGATTCAGTCTATAACTGTCTGGTCTAAAAAAAAATATACAATAATCCACACAGTTATTTACACAAGTACTGTTTCAAAATTTACTTGTCTTTCTTATCTCAGGAAACACCTTACTATTTTAAATAAGTGTTAACAATTCAAAGGACTTGAATGTATGCAGAAACTTTTGCTAAAAAGTGGCCAGAAGCTGACAATTCCCTCCCATTGCAATTTTCATGTTCTAAAATTTGTTTTTTGTTCTCCCCTGGAACAAAATCAAACCATTCTGTATTCCACAAAACCAGAACTGTCAAAACTTCCCTTTTTAGATCAAACTAAGCTTTTCTATTTAAGAGCTACGAATTTCTACAAATTCAAATGTCTGCTTGAGTAAGCCCAGATCAGGCTTCCATATCTAAATGGGATAATTAAAATTTCTGTAGAGTAACAAAGGGGGTCTGGTTTTTTGTTGGTTTTTTTGTTGTTGGTGGTGGTGTTTTTTTTTTTTAACTTACAGTAGCCTAGTTCTTTGTTGCTGTTTGCTACTGCAATGTCCTAATTATTACGTTGCACAGAGAGAACTCCTTCACTCTTTCCCAGCTTTGAAGAAAGAACATATAGCACCAACATTTCATTATGCTGGAACACTTTCAGCCTGGTCTGTTTAATGACCAGATATGACTACCAATTTATCTTCTTTGAAGTAAAAAGTTGCAGCATTATTTTTAGCATGAATGGTAGAAGCTAAAGGATTTTATTCCTGTGTGCCTGTTAAAAATGAAAATAAAGACAAAAGATAGCTTTTGGGGAAAACAACATATAAATCGAAGTCAAAATGTGATGAATATGGTTCATCTTCTCTTACGAAATGACATATCAGAAAAGAACCTAGAGGAAATGAAATGGAGCAGTAAACTTCTGCATGAAATCTAATACTGGGCTTTCTTAATCTACTAAAAAGCACTCAAACAAATTATCTGGATTTTGATCCTCAAGAAAGAAAATTAGGCAAGTCCTGGATTCTCTTCATCTTGATGAGGTAATCCTTCATCTACAGCTTAAGCAGGCTGTACCGTGACAACTTAAACCCAGCAGAAGCTGAGGAAGACCGTGACTTTCTCGCGCACAGTTAAGGTACCAAGAGAACTCTTCCCGTAACCCCTCCATGCTCTGGTGCTGCTACTGTCCTTCAAAGTCAGGGGTTTGGGTGATGTAGGCCAGGATGCAGCAGCAGCAAAGTGCAGATCATTACCAAGTCCCCCTACACATCACTGGACTTCACTCCCTTGCAATCACACTAGTGAGAGCAAAAAACAGGTTCTGATGAAACCTCAAAAATGTGAAAGACTAAAAGCAAGGCCCTTGAACCACATCAGCTGTAAGAAGCTGAACAAGCGCATCTGGGTACCTCACGCTTTCTCCTTGACGTCTAAGCCATGTTTTAGACACACTGTACCTATGGCTGTCTTAGAGCTGCCTTGATAGATCACAAGAATTCCAATGTTAGGTGGTCATACTTTTCTGTATCATCTATCATTCCTTAAAGTGTACATAAACTCTACAGTAACTACATTTAAATGTTTTTTGGGGTGGGGTTTTTTTCCCTCAGTTGTCAAATTTTCTTGATTTTAACAGGTAAAACAACTCATAACTTAACGGTCTTCATTGCAGTTCTGTGCCAAACTACACTACAGCCTTGCTAACTTTTTCGAATCCTCTGTCTTCACGAATATTTTGTTTAGTGCCTTAGAATAATTTATTTTTCCCCAGCATGTCCAATACCAAAAAAGCATCTTTTATTTCAGTGCCATTGATAATAGGCACTGTGGGAATTGGAAAGGAATTTTCTTAAAATTGATGAAAACAGCAAATCATTTGCACCAGAAATCACTGTCATCACCCTTATAACTTGAGGCCACCACTAATGGAACAGAAGCCCACGAAAGTAAAGACAACTGGACAGGACAAAAAAATAACCCACCAAACAAACAAACCCCAACCTCTGTTGCTAAAGTAGAGGATTGGGAGAATTTTCAGGACAGAAGTCTGGAGAATCATCTTACCATCTTTTGACTGGGAGGGTAAAGTCAGGAGCCTCAGAGGAGGGCTGGAGCATTTGTGGTAGAGAAGAGAAGCAGTGAATAGTCAGTGGAATTTACTGGAAGCTTTCAGTAACCTTTAGTGTTCAAGGAGGGTTGCAGGAGATAAGCAACTCTAGGAGGGCTGTGGATAGCACAAGCCAGCAGTTTAGTGATAACAGTGGAAGTTTCCAAGCACCTGAGGACAGGAATTGTAGGAGGGAGACATTACGTGTTGTATGAGAGGTTGTGGGAGATACTTCAGGTTGCCTCCAACAATCCCCCCTTCATCCCCTGAAAGGGGTCTTCAGCATGAGTACCTGTTCTTCCTCTCCCACAGGAGAAGAACCTATTCATCCATACAGTCTCCACAGCTGCTGTCAAACAAGTAGTAAGGGCTAGGGCTCTCCTGCTCGCTGTGCAGGGGAAAGGACAAGGCGAGGCTGAACTGGGGAGCAGACAGGTGACTCTGGCTACTAGAAGATGGAGGCAATAACTGCAGTGATTGGGAGAGGCTACTCTTCAGCTATAGCCATGCATGTTGACAACCCACAGCAGTTGTCAACCAGGAACTCAAGCAGAAGGTAGATTATCTAGATACATTCCAGCTCTTCCAGCAAGGTAGGCACCACAGCCATAGGGCGGGAAGTTGGGTAGGTTTTTGTACCCTCTTTTGAATAACAAACCTCAGCAGTCTGCAGCCTGAGGCAACTGCTGACTTTAGATAGGCAGGGATCCTACAGCCTCTCACAGAACATCTAAAGACATTCTGTGGCAACAGAAAATCAGTTCAGCAACAAAGCAGTATCGGTCAGCGAAACTGGCTTCTGAGTTGGACTGATGCCTAATTACGGAATCACAGAATCACATGGGGTTGGAAGGGACCTCTGGAGATCATCTACTCCATCCCCCCTGCCAAAGCAGGTCCACCTAGAGAATTGCTATCAAGTTTTTGATGATTGCTATCAAGTTTTAGCTGTTCTGCCCGGTACTCAACTGCTATACCCCTCCTTTCAGGTTGCATTTGTTAGGCGCCCAGTACTTTGAGAAGGCCACCACCACTATTTAACTTAGCATTTAACAATGAAAGCTTCCAAGTAAGATTGCGGCTGTTTGAGGTTAACCAACTACCATTGATGAAAGGGCAGAAAAAGGAATCCTGCCGAAACGTTGGTCCCCCACAGAAGGGGGGCTCATCTGCCACGCAAGGTGATGTTCTTACAGACCACCAAAAAAACGCACCAGTTTTCATGCCTGGTGCTCACAGACCAGGTTTGCGGTGCCTCTGCCCAGGGCTGGGAGGGAAGGCAGCCCGCGGCAGGGAGCCAGGGGAAGGGCGGGCAGCACAGCCGGGGGGACACACCACTGGGTCAGCGCCCCCAAAACGCCGGGGTGACAGCCCCGCAAACACGCCCCTTCCCCCGACCCGCACCCAGGGGTGGGAAAAGTGATTACTCATGCCGGCGGGGACCGGGGCCGAGGCTGGCGACCCCTCCCCGGGCCCCGCGGGGCTCCCCCGCCACCCCACAGCGGGCCCTGTGCTTCTTACCTGAGGGGCCGCGAAGGCTGCCGCGGCGGCGGCGGGCGGCGGGCCGCGGGGCCGCGTCTCCTCCTCCTCCGGCGAGTCGTCCAGCAGAACTTTGCTGCTCTTGTTGAGCTTCCACATGGCGGGCGCGGGGTGTGTGTGTGTGTG